GGGAAAGAGGAGAAAAGGTCAGTGCCTCGTTTTCTGGTCACCTCTGCTATCACAAAGTGGCAACAACTGTTATATTTTTAGCCTGATTTTCTACCTGCAGGAATCAGACACTAGACTCCGGTAAACGAGTTTTCTTCTTGGGGTGCTGGCTGCAAACGTTTTTTGTTTGTTTGTTTGTTTGTTTTTTGCGGTACGCGGACCTCTCACTGTTGTGGCCTCTCCCGTTGCGGAGCACAGGCTACGGACGCGCAGGCTCAGCGGCCATGGCTCACGGGCCCAGCCGCTCCGCGGCATGTGGGATCTTCCCGGACCGGGGCACGAACCCGTGTCCCCTGCATCGGCAGGCGGACTCTCAACCACTGCGCCACCAGGGAAGCCCTGCAAACGTTTTTTGATGAGACTCTTCTTAAGGAGTTGCCCATTTGAAATTAGAAAGAGCAGTAGGTGTAGAAAAGTGTGGGTTATCATACTAAGTCCTAGTTTTGTTATTAAAGTACTTTCTCTGAATTGTTAGTGTAGAAGGAGAATAAGACATGAAAGTTTAATGAGTGCATGTGGAAGCAACGATGCCTTTCTTTTCTGCTTTTGGTGCCCGTAGATCAGTGGGACACGAGAGAACTAGAATGGGATCTAAGCAGACAGAGAGAAGGGAGGGGCAAAAACAAATCTGAATGGAAACCTGGCTTCCAGATTTTTGATAATTATGGATTATCCAGACCTGTCTCAGAACACAGGAGCCAGTGCATTGAGCTCATTCATGGGAGATCAATTGTAAGCCCAAGAAAGAAGTTAGAGCAAAAATCAAAAGGGATTTTAAGTGTAGGAGAAAGGTCAGGAAACTGAAGCTGGAATAGCCTCTTGGATCTTTATTCTCATGTCTAAATTCAGCTTTTTCTCAATGAAATTTTTTAACACCTCAGATAGAATTTAATTCACCAGTGCAGGTCTGCCTTTGTATACTAGCCATCATCAACCAAGGCATGAATGACAATCTCTGACCTCAGAGGAGCATAGGATCTCATGGGGGGAAATGAGACTCATAGAACAGGTAATAGTATGAAATACCTTTTGAAATTCTTATTCTGGAAACTTTCAAACATACACAATATAGAGAGAATGGCATAATCAACTTCCATGTACGCATCACTTGCTCCAATGATCATCAATATATGGCCAATCTTGTCTTATTCATCCCCCTCCCCACGCCATTATCTGCTGGATTATTTAAAAACCAATCCTACACATCACTGGTGTATGGCATTTAAATTAAGTAATGTAGATAGAGCTAAAGGAGTTCAGAGAAGATGGAGGATGTAGAGAAATCTTTATGGAGAAAGTATGACTTAGTTCTTGAGTGATGAGTTAAGCTGAATAAGCACAGAGGAGGCACAGGGAGAGTGC